TGCTTTTTACCCTCACACATGCCTCCAACTTACGTTTTAGGGGCCAATGTAGGAATTTTTCCCCAAATGCAGAACTTAAAAAAAAATTAACATAAAAGTTTTAAATATATATATATATATATATATATATATATATATATATATAATATATATATATATATATATATATATATATATATATATATATATATATATATATATACATATATATATATATATATATATATATATATATATATATAATATATATATATATATATATATATATATATATATATCCATTTACACATATATTCATATATATATACATATATGTATATGTATATATACATATACATATATACATATATATTTGTGTTTCTTTGTAGATAAATAAAAATACTTATTTTGTCGCACCCAATAAAAAAGTGTGATCTTGACACAAAACGAAAAGATTTGTTACTTTTGTGCCCACAAAACCTCAAGACTGTTAAATATAATAAAAGAGAATTTCCAACTTTTGATTTAGATAGCAATGATTCAAAAAATCCATTCGGCATACTTGATAAATGTAGAAATAATATACGTAAAAAATACTACTTGCCAGATTTACTGATAGACTGGACTAAAAATGTTGTTACATCTTTAACCAGAAATTCTACTATTTATCACTGTAAAATATGCAATTCAACGAGTTTACCTGGAAGAGCCCAAACAAGAAGAAGTAAGTTTTCCAAGAAGCGTGCACCACATGAAAAAATATGAAAAACTTGTCTTTCAAACATTGAAAAGGGAAAAAAGCATGTGTAAATAAAACGCGTGGTGTAAAGTTAAGGATCAGATTGCTTCTAGAGTAATCTCAGAAAAATGAACAAGTATCAAAAAGAATTAAACTTACTACAGGTGCAAAAGCTTTACAAATATTAGTAGGACCCTTAAAAAATAAACCTAGACAGATCATTTTGATTGATTTATTAAGTATTCAATCAAGACTTAAGCTGTCCTAAAAAATTCCTATATTGGGCCCGTTTGGCCCCAAGAAACTGATACAGCTAGCAAAAGAATTCAAGTAAGAACGATTTTTTGAAGTATTTCTTACTCTTTTAAAGTATTATAGTTAATCTTAATTCAAAAAAAAAGTTATCTATAATATAAAAGGAAAAACCCTCACTCACTGATTCACTGATTCATTCACTCATCACTATGCGGTAGTGGTGTAGTGGTAGAGCGCTCGCTTCATAAACGAGTGGTTCCGAGTTCGATCCCCACCACGTCCCTGGTAGTACCGCGCTCAACTCGTTTCTCCGCGCAGCGGCCTTGTTCGTCAAGGTTCGTGTTTCGGAGTTATAGAGTTGAGAGAGGGTTATAGCCACAAATAAGTAGCCTCCTCGTCTGTAGTGGCCTTCTCGGCCTTGAGGAGGTGAATTAAAATAAAAAAAAAAAAAAAAAAAAAAAAAAAATTCTCCAACTTGCCGTGTAGCTAGAAAGCTGAAATTTTTACCAGGGGTAGCTTATGATGTGCTTATACAAAGTAAAGTTTAAATTTGAAAATTCGGCCTAGGGGCGGAAATATTAGCGGCAGTAGTTTTTTATAAGGAGCTAGTATATGAGTATATATATGAAAGTTTGTATATATGCACATAATGAATTTTTGTGGCTAAAATGGTGTCGGTACAAATCTATGGATTACCTTGATACCAAATTAGTTAGTGAGCATCTGGGGGCTTTGCTCCTTACGCCCCTTCCCATGGGAGTTCCAAAAATTGATTTCTGCACGGGTAGACGGATTTCAGTGAAATTTTGTATGCATGTTACTACTATGTCAAAATGGCATACAAGCTATCTAAAACGGTCAAATTCAAATCTATCTAAAACGGTCAAATTCAAATTGTGCCCGTTCCCATGGGAGTAATGTTAATTTAATAATCTCTATATAATATAGAGATTATTAAATGACAAATTTTTATACCAAATTTATTATCTGGGGTCAACTATAAAAAAAGATATTCAATTTTGAAGGTAGAGAAAATAAAGTGGACATCTTAACAAAGATACACAAGAAAATGACTTCAAAAAGTGGACTTTATAACGTAGTTCATAAAATATTAACAATTTACTTTATAACGTAGTTCATAAAATATTAACAATTTACTGTCACATATATGATAAAAACTGTTTATTATATCCCACTTATATAAATTAAATTAAAAAAAAAAAAAAAAGGGGGGGGGTGTTTAAGCCCATTCTAAAAGGGGGTCAAATTCGATTCTAGTCATTTTATTAAAAAAAATTACCATAACTAATCTAAATTTAAGTTTGTTCATGCTTAAATCTAATGAGAATGTGAAAAAAAATTGTTTAAAAAATTGAAGTGATTGGAGCCTGGGAACAAAAATAATTAAAAAGTTTGTGCCCCACATAAAAATGTGAGGGGACCAAGTTATTAAAATACATTTACTTATTATTTTATACTACATTTAAATCTATCAACAGACCCAATAATTCTAGATATGTTTAAAGTTATTTTTTTAAGTTATTTCACATGGTCATAACCTTTGAGCATTAAAAAATGTGAATTTAAATTTAGTTTTGAATAATAAACTTAAAAACTTATTTACTCATTAAATTAACATTTGAGACAGGGGGGTTCTATCTTTTTTAGATAGTTTTGTTCCAAAGTTTTATTTACCACAATTTTCTAGCAAATCATTCTTATTTGACACATGATTGAACATACTTATACTTAGAGTTTTCACAATGCCAAGTACAGTATCTGAAATGTAAAATAACCCTGTGCCTGCTCTTGGTTAATACAAAAATATTTAAAAACTAAAAGGAATAAATAAAAATGTATACAAAATAATCAACATAAACAAAATAAAAGATAATAATGCCTAATATATTATAGTAATTTTTAAATGAACTCCAAATCTTTAAGTATTAGATCTGCTATAACTCCTTCCTGGCTTATGTCAATATCTTCAACTTCATTTTCATTGACTTTCCAATATCCTATTGTGTATGTAATAGATTTTTTTTTTGTTGCTACCTTTTGATCAACAATTCTACCAAAAAATAAATGTATATTACCATCATCTAGCTCCCATTTATGGCTTAAGAGCTGCCCTATCAAGTTTCCATTTTTCAAAATTACTCCTAAAATTCGTTTTTGTTTTTTATCAATATTAACAAAAAGAGGATTTGTGGTTTTGGCATTTTCAGCTATTGCTCTTTTAATATCCTTCTCTAGTTGCTTTCTTTCCAGACACTCTTTTTTTAAATTAGCTTTGGCGCATCTTTTTCCTATTTCTTCATACAAAAGATTGTTAAAATTTTTAGAGGCTTGACACATTAAAGCTCCTCTGCGAATTACAAATTGAATAAGATCTTTTTGTTCTGGCAATGTTTTCTCATCAAGCCATGTTAATGTTTTGTTTACCCTGGCTTTTATTTTAGAATCCAGAAAACCAAAAGTAGCATTAGGAGCACGACGCAAAAAAAAATCAAGCATGCCCAAGATCCTTTCAGCCTCCATTGTATGAGGTGGAGCAGATAGTGTGGTTTTTATCATTTCTTTAGATGGATTTGGAAGATTGCCAGTCAAATACCTGGCCATCTGTCTTTTGAGAACTGTCTCTGTGTAGCTTATCAAAGCTGATAAAATCTTTACCAAAATATTTTTATTTTTTATTACACGAAGGGATTGGTGTACCTTATCTTTTTTGATATTTAATACTTGACTAAAAATATCCACATCTGTATAAAGAATTGATTCTGGATTACTTTTGAAGTAAGCTAATTTCCTTATTGCTTTCTGGAAAATGTCACCCTATTAAAAAAATAATTTTTGTACATTTTTTAAACTACTTTATTTGTTTATTAGAAAACCTTAAAAACTTACAAACTCAAGATTACTCTTTCCTGTTGCATTTTTATAAACCAGACTCATCCATGGCCCAGTTATTATTTTTCCTATTAGGCCCAACCCTTGCAGTTGCACAAGCGTTATATCATTACTCATATCTTAAAGTAAGAGTTGGCAAATTTTATTTTTGGTGTTGCTAGAATAACGAGAAAATGTTAATACATAGAATTCTATTAAAACAAATATTCATCTAAAAAAAAACTTACTTTTCAAGAAAGGTTTTTATAAGTCTTTCGTATGTAACAACAATCCCTGCCATATGGAACAAAACATGAAATCTACTACCAACATATCTAAGGAATAGCCCTGGAGCAACATTGTTTTTTTTAAGATAGCTTTTGAATGCTGCAGGATCGCCTTTAAAACTATACCTGATTTTTAAAGAGCAAAAAAATTAAAATTTCAAATTTTCAAAACGTGGAAATAATAAAGAAATAATTGCTCACAAGAAAATAAAACTAAAAAAAAATTTAAATAATGAAAGATATACATATAAAAGATTACCTTAGCTTAGAAATATTTTTGAGGACTGTTACTGCAACCCCATCAGTTCCTTTAGCTGGTTTTATATTCAACTCATTATCTATTGTTTTAAGAGCTAATAATGCTTTTAAGGCAATAGTTTCCAATGGATGAACATTGCAGTACAGTTGCATTAATTAAATGTCCACCTCTTCCTGAAGCATGTTTTTCACACAACTATTAACAGGTGCTCTGTCTGACAGACAACTTTTGATTTTTTGAGTGAAAACATCTAAAACTTCTACTGCTGGCATATTTTTAAACTCTGCATATGTATTGGCAAGTTCTTTTATTACACTGACAATATGAGTGGCACAGTCAAATCCTGTGCCTCCAGCAAGTTTAGCGGTTGATAAGGAATAACATC